TTCTATTCCTACTAATAACCGACCAAATAGAAGATTATTTTTATCTCGTATTCAGTGACGTAAAAATGTTGTTAGAAATAATTTTCATAAATATTCTATAACTGCGTCATTCCGTCGAAACCTTTAAAAGTCCCTTGTTCCGCTCGGAATGTGCGGCTCACTGAGCAATTGCAAGTGGGTTTTCGTGAAGCGTTAACAACCCCTTAAGCTTCCCTATTCTTTGAGATGCACCCTTCTATATACACTCTACTGCCAGACGCTTGGAAATTACTTATGTGCTTACTTTATTGCTCGGTATTATATAATCGGAATTTTAAGCGATATATATTTTATCATATTGTCAAAATTAAGAAAAAAAAATCAACATTTAACGAAAATCCAATTATATTTAAAATATATGTATAGTATGTATAATATATTTTTAATGATGTAACGTTATATATTTGTCTACACTGCATTAATCTTTTCGCAGAGTGACAACACGCGTACATTACGCGATCTGATTTCGTCCGTGGTACGAATAAAAGCCAAAGATGTTGATTAAATTTCCTGTGTAAAGATAATGGCCTACATTCGAAACTATCCGTTCCTACTAACAAAGCTCTTTGTTTCTCGGATCTCTGTCAACTCTGATCATGTAGATTTGTTAATGTTGACAAAGAACGAAGGTAAATATCGAGAATGGTAAATTTGTGTCGCGGGAGTATAAAGTTTCTGACAAATGTAACATATTTATTTATTCAAAATTTAACAGTGTTTATAATATCTGACTTAAATTTAATGAATGTTTCATTATTTTAATATTATTTTCTCTCATTCCGAAAAGTAAATGAATTAATATATATATATATATACAAATCTGTATTTAAAAAATCACGCACATGTAACACTTACCTTTAGGAGGGTGAGAATCTTTTGGGATAGATCATAATCAAAATTTTGATATTTGCTATCCGACATGTCATAAATAAAAACCAGACCGTGTTTTTGAGTTTCTACACTTTCTAGAGCTGCATCTAATTGATATACAACGCCCTGTAATGACACAGAGAAAGTTCCATTATTACAAATATGCTATTAAAAAAATTGTTAAAAAAATTTACTATCACATCTTATTATGATTAATAAGAGTATGAGAGAGTATAAATATGTTTTTATTTTTCTTTTTTAATAATTTAATAATTATAGAATATATTATATATATTTAATAATTAAAATGTTATAATAATACGTACAAAAAAGAAAATTCGTGTACAAAAATGCATATACTAACTTGTAACGTTGTTTGATGAGTGGTATTTTGTGGAAGGTGTAAATGTGCTGTAAAAATAGCTATGGCTGCCCCTGTAGCATCCCGCGAAGGCTAGAATATTTTTATGAATGATCATGTTAAATAGCACTTACACACATTAACGCAAGACCATTGGCATTTTAATTAATTAAAGAACTTACTAAAACAGTAAATTTTCCTGTGCGTAATTCAGTGAGCAAAGGTTCCTGAGTAGGATATAAAAGTGCAAGACCTTCTCTTCTTCTGGTGGCTTCATGCTGTTCATATAGCGCTAGTGCTCTCGCTACTTCAAATTTCCTTGCTGTCAAAAATTTTACAGCTGTACTCCATGATACTGGACCAGCTCTTCTTCCAGCCCGACATTTATTAACTGCTTCTATAAATTCTTTCGTGGCCTGCAATTAATATATTAAATTTAATTAAAAATCTATTTTTACGATATAAAATTTAATAATATTTTTGCGAAATCATAAATTTTTAATTTTTTTGTATATTTCAAAGAGAAACTATTAATATAATGAGTAAAATTATAATAAAATAAAAATGACCATTCGATTAATTTAAAACACTCCATATAATATATATATATATATATATATTATCGAAACGTGTAACAGTCATTCGTCAATGATTTGTGTACATGCCCTGGGTACCGATATAACTTCCGGTGCCCGACTACCTACCCACCGGCAACTTCCGCCATAGTACGCTCGCCGGGGACCGGTGCGGTAAATGGATAGGTTCGTTCCAGGGTCAAGAAATTTAATATCATGAATCAATACTTCAATAAAATTTCATTAAATAATAATTTTAAAATTACTTTATTATTAATGTTTCGTCATATATCTTTCATTTCTTCTTTGTATTTTGCTTATTTCTTTCTTTTTAAAATAAAAGAAATATTTTTTTTGTTTGTATTACGATCTTTACAAGTTATAAATATTGTTTATTTATTAACCGCATATCATTCAATGTTAAATATCATAGTATATAAAATTTAAAAAAAAAAATTATTTAAAATCTTGAATTATTTATGTGGAGTAAAATAATACATTCATTCAAAAAGTATAATTAACAAATGAATAAAGCATCAGTCTTGCGATGACAATATCTAGTTGCACAAACATTGATGATTAAGGCTTAATACGCTCACGCGAATCTATCTATCTTGCTCATTTAACGCAAATAACGTTGAATAGAATAATCATTGTTGAAACTCAATGAAAAATATTCGTGCTGATTTATCGAATAAGAATACTTTTATCCTCTTGTCATTTCCGTTGAAATTCGTCGAAAAGATTCAAAGGATAAGAGGTAGAGAAAATGAGAATGAATGTTTATATTACGCGCTTGTAAACATGTATATGATACGGAGATTGAAGCAAAAGGGAAATCGTAATCGATTGTTTCGCGATGTTGAGAATATCAATTAAAACAATTTTCTGAGAGAAATATATTCCGATTAAAAGATGGATAAACCGCTTACCTGTTCTTGCTCGACAGTTAACGTGGCTGCCATTTTGACTTAACACATTGACATAACTGAGGAATAAGCACTAGCACGTATTTATTTTCGATTTTAGCCTAACAATCCCCTGTGTATGGCTACACATTTTGTTTTTGCACTAAATGCACAACACTATCTTTATAATTGACTGGTCAAAACAACGATAAAAATAAATGGATCGGTCCGGTACTTGTTCATTGTCCGACGCTTGACGTAGCTATAGCAAACCCGCTCTGAACCGTTCAGACGCTCGATCGTCTTTCTCTCCACAAGTTGAGCGCCATCTTGAAAGCGTGAATGTGTAGGCGACACTGTACCACACTATACATTAACTATAGATTTGTACCATACTTTATCGGTAAGTCTATCCTTCTCACGCCGGATATGCTATCATTAGGGCCGAGTATAGCTCAACGTCAAAAGCCTCTTCGAGTTATAGGATTTCGTGCAAATTCAACGCCGGAAACAAGCCAGGTGTGTTTTGGAACGGAAGCAGAATCGTTGTTAGTATATTATAATCTGAACACGTATTGGTACGTGTTTCAATGCGCGCGCTCAAATACCAGGCACGTATATATTAATATGCTTTCAAAGAGTTATAGCAAAGTTTATGCCAATACTTTTGAAATTCCTTCGTAAAATTGAATAATAGTAGAATTCATTATCTTTCTCCAGGAAAACTGTAATGCTTTATCGAACTTTGACAATAAAGCGAAATAATATACTCGATCAACAAAGTCTTTTATTATCAAAAAAAATCTGTTATGCAGATTACAAAGATTAATGCTCGATAATTTGGCTATTAGAATAATTATTAAATTAGAATAATCATTAATTTCTTAATTATTCAATAGCAATTTAATTTAAATTATTGAATTGCAATTTAATTTAAAGAAATTAGAAAATGTTAAGAAGATAATTATTTTAACACAGATATTACGTTGATTTCATCGGAGAAATCGCTGTCGAGTCTTTGCCAATAAGCAACAAGTTATCGTGTCTGGTAGATGCAACAAGTTTTGTAATAAGATTAAGTTTCAAACGTTTATTCAAACTTGGAAAAACGAAGCCACATACTAGATAGATTTGATTAATAACACGGGAAGTAAAATATAACCAATAAATATACGCACTGTTTTTTTTTGTAATATAAACATTTTTCTTATTCAAACGTATGTTCTTACATTTACACAGTACAAAAAATTATACTCAGACCTGCCGGCCCGCGGTTCATAATTGCTATGACTGGGGGCGACCGGTGGTGGGGTAGTGTAGGACTTTGGGGGTGGATATTTTATAGGAGTTTAAAGGGCTGTACAATTGTCTCATCCATTCCACTCCGCCCCCAATACACGGCCCCTTCTTCTTTCTCTCTCTCTCTCTCTCTCTCTCTCGCTCACTCTCTCGAGCATTCTTCCGAAATTTCGCTCAAAAAAACATACACGCGTTCATATAACACACAAACAATCTGTCGAATAATTCTCATTTATACACTAGACGCTCGTAGTCGTGTTTTTTTCGCCACGTATTAGCAACATTTAAATATCGGTATTTTTCGTAATAATTAATCGTAATAATGATAATCATAATCATAATAATTAATAATAATAATAATGGTATAATAAACTATCTACCTACGTCTGTAAAGTGTATTTTTTTTTATCCATATTCATGGAGTGTGTATCTCTTAAGTCTAATTTTTTTCGTATTTATATATGTATATGTATACATATAAGTATGTATAAATGTATTTACATACACGTAGCAAGAGAACGAATAATAGCTTTGTTGCAGCAATAATACACAGAGTATGTTTTTTTTTTTTTTTCTCTATAACTTTATACATCGTCGGTATCCTCAATTATCATTTCCATTATCGTCGTTTGTTGAATAATAAGGGCATTTTTTTTTTTTTTTCTTTTTCTTTCTCTTCCTGTTTTTTTTTTTTTTTCTCTATAACTTTATACATCGTCGGTATCATCAATTATCATTACCATTATCGTCGTTTGTTGAATAATAAGGGTATTTTTTTTTTTTTTGTTATAATTTCCGTAATATTAACGTTACTTATCGACACTAAGATATTTAAAAATTTACTCGTTAAATATTATTTTAATCAAGTCGTTGTATGCTAGACGAATGTTGAGATCAAAGAAATTGCGGATTTCAGGATTCCAGTGATTTGTTTTTCCTTGTTCTTCGTTTGTTGCTTACATATCGGTCTCAAGATTACCAGCCGTAGTGAATATCAGACAATCGATAAAGCGCGCACCAAGGGCGCGAGAAACGCTAAATTGCATGCGTCTGTCCTCGAAAGCTGTTGCCTTCCTCTTCTCTTTTTTTCTACTTTATTCTTTTTCTTTCTCTTCCTGTTTTTTTTTTTTTTTTTTTTTTTTCGTTTATCATTGAAATTATGACTGGCTCATAAACATACAACTATGATGGTATTTTTCAGTTGTGAATATGTGAGAAACGTCATTGTGAAACATACAATGGACGAGGACGGTAATGGCTTTCAAGAATTCAGACATCGCGCAACATACCGTGAAAAGCAGCGGTTTGTTCTATATGAGGAAAGTTAAATGATAGGAACTCGGCCTCTCATCTATGAATTCTGCATGACTAATCTGTGTTCTTTCGTCCATCTCTTTTCTTTATTTTTTTTTTTTTTATTTTTTTTTTTCTTGTCTACCTATACACAAACGTGTAAACACGCGAAAATGTCCACGTCGTTCAACATTGGCACTTCAAAAATCGTTACAGCTTTACTTTGCATTAAATAATGTTACCATAATTATCGATATTAATTACAAATACAATTAGAATATCGCTGCTGCTCTATTGGATAGACGGTTCGCGTGATTCGACAAAAATAACAGTTTCTTATTTTTTTTCTTTTTTTTTTTTTTTTTTTTTTTTTTTTTTTTTTTTTTTTTTTTTTTTTCTCTATTCTTTTCATTTTCCTGTCTTTTACTTTGTTTTTTCTCTTACTCATTACTCTTACTGGGTTATCACTGGGCCACACAACTGTTAATCCAATCTATAAAAAACATTAAATTCAATAGATTTGATAATCTATTCTTATCGATCTTTTATCCCATGAAGATAATAATATCGAGAGATTTGTTTACAACTATTATGTTATTTTTGTTCTGATGCCGTAATTTAAACGACGATGATCATACAAACCTTCGAACAAACTTTGCTCGATATAGCCGATATATTTTTCAAAGAAGAAAGACAAATCGAAGAAGAAACGATATTATATATTCGAGGAAGCCGAACTGCGGTTATCACGTATATCGCATTAATGTACTTTACGCGCAAATTATCCAGTCACTTTATCCGTTAAACTGGACCGATGTGAACAGCATAGGCAGTGTTTTCCTCTTATGCTCATTGCCGCGCTGAACACAAGAACGTAGCAAGAAATATATATCGGCCATTTAAGCAAACGGCTTGTTTCGCTTTTATTTAAATCGATACCAAAAAAGCACCAGATCACGAGAGCACGTAACGGAGCGGATCGACAAGTATCATTGATCCAACTAACAATTTATAATCGACATCTAATTGCACAAAGGTACCTCTAGACGATCCTTTCATAGTTGCTAGTAAGAATTCATTACACAGTAATCCATTATCTACATTTATATAATATAGACAGTATGTTATTGAATACAGGCACGATATAAGTAATTACAAATAATGTATGATCCAAAGTTCTCCTCCTGGTATCACAATGATAATGGACGCAGTGCGCGTTAGCGTCAACAACTCCATACTTCAAAATGAAAAAAAGAAAAACTCGCAGACTTCATGTCCGCAAGCACGTTGCTCGAGAGAAAGAAAACTATACGCAAAAGGATATTGAAATGAAAACAACGGATAATCTCATTGGCTCAGCCAATACCAAAAATCAAACGTTTCGAGTTACTCGTCAAATATCACAACAAATTCTTGCACCTCGATACAGGTTCCGGAGCGAATCTTAAGATTAAATCCTCCTGTCGTCTCGAATCCATCCCGACCTATTCTACGTTCGGGGAAGCGATACACGACCAGGTAACAGATTGGGCACTCACTGATATAGCGAGACTTTTTTAGTCAAAGAAAGATCAACGGCTCTTGCGACCGCGACAGGGGGCCTAGGGCTACGTCTCCTCCTTTTTTATCTCGTTATTCGACTTTAACTTGTTGAGAGTTTCTTCCTTCACGTTGCTCAATACGGCCAATGAATCTTTCACGGCATGGTATATTATATTCTTAATCTGCAATTTGTCTTCGTGATTCGTGTGCGTGTCGGATAATGCACGGAACTCTTGCGTTAGATGGAAGCAATGCGACACGTTTTCTGGAGATACGAAATCCTCGGCCACCTTTATACAATTGTGAAGATTGCGGACTTGATGTGGCGCACCAGCTGGCACGAACACTGCATCGCCTAGGCACTGTACAATAGCATATCTGGGAAATGAGTAAAAACATATTTTTATAAGAATTTCAAGAAATATATAAAGCGAAATAAGAAAAAGAACATAATTTACCCTTCGACGCCGTATTCGCGATACAATCGTTCTCGCAAAGGTCCATCGAGATAACAACTTTGATCATGGATTGGATCGTGATGCGGTTCCAAACGAGCTCCACGCTCCAAAGCAACAGCGTTCAACAGATCTCTGATTTTATCAGCATCTCGAGCCGCATAAATATGCCACAACGCACCCGGTGCTTCTCCCCGTTCGCGAACACGTCGGCGTGTCAAGACGTCACAGCCGGCTTCGTCTATTGCTCGTAATGCTTCTGTAACGTGTATTCGCATTGTTAAAAAAAGTTTTCAAAATGAAAATTTTAGAAACATCAGGAAAAAAAAAACATATATCTTATAAATACCTTTGACGTGCTCGTCGTTATCGGCGTCTTTTGGGATACCCACATAAACCATAACATTAACTGCATCAGAAATATCTAAATGGAGATTAGTGGTGCCTTTGTTTGGATGAAGAGCCGATCCATAAGCATTGTACATTTTGGGCCCTAAATCCGGTCTTACGAAACAGTCGGGTAAACGACTGGCCAAGTTCAGTCTTCCGTTTCGATGTGTATACTCCGACAACGGCAAAACTTTCATCAAATCCGCGAATCTCGATGGTAACAATTCCGCAAAATCTTCACCGGGAGGCCAATCCTTTAATTTTAACAACATCGGATTTCCTCTCTCGTCTTTCAATCTTTTCGAGAAATGTTCAAATCCTTCCCAGAATTTACGCATCGGTTGATTTGGTACGAGATTTCCAGTCATGCAATTTATCAAATCGTTCTTCTCGTCGCCAAAATCTCTGGCGAATGAGTCTGGATGCCAGAGGCTCATGTCCAATAACTTTGCAACATCTGACACGATAACCGGTTGTCCACGTTTCCATTGATCTTGAAATATTCTGTAATTGTTAGGATTGTTCGGATCGTTTAACCTGAGCAATTTTCCATCACAGAGCCAAGAATGTGGTACGTCTGGGTAAAGACTCTTGCTTTCGGTAAGTGTCATGATCCGGATGGGCAACGGTTCCCTTCCCTTCTGCGTCCATTTGTATCTTCTGACGAAATGCTTAAGCTCTCTCGGCTTCTCATCGTCCAGCTCATCTTCCCTCTCCTTTTTCACACTGTGCTCTATCACGCTAGATATGACTTCGTCCAACGTGTCCATCTTCGACTTTTTCCCAGACTTTGCGACGTTGTTCTGCGCATTGTTTCCGGAGGTAACGTTAACGTTACCTGAATTGTTCGTGGGTGAATTTGATCTAGAGCCACTACCATTTGATTTATGGGACGGTCGGATAAGCAATTCTCTCAGGGTCGAATAATTACCATCCCGATCTTCGTCGGAATCTGAACTAGAAGTGCTTTCGTTTTTATCCTGATTCTGTAAAGCTACATCTGCCAGCCAGTTTAACGGAGAATTTTTATCTTCACCATTCGTTTTACTCTCCGACGATCCATTCGATTCGTTTACTTTTTTCTCTTCCTTAATTTCCTGCTTAACGTTGCCATTCAAAACGGGTACCGAGTCGCCTTTTATCATGTTTCGCAAATACTCGTTGGCAGGAGTTTGAACGACCAGTGAACAACCACAATGTTGGGGTATTCCCCATTCTGCACGGCATTCGTGCAATCGTTGACCAAGACGTATCAGGCTGTCACCAGCAATAATTTGTGTGAGCATGAGTCGCTCGGGTTCGTGCACTTGTCTATTTGTACATAAAAGCCATGAAAAATCGTCTCTATCCTTTCCGCTTTCTCCCCATATCTTGATCGTCCCGTTCTTGCGTCCCTATAATATTTATGTTTTGTTAAATATTATCTGTGAATAAAGCTACAAATTTTTATATTCAAAATGATTATGATAGTTTTATCAGTGTTAAAAAGCTCGATATTTTATGGATATATATATATATCACGTGAAGTGATCAAAGAATTATTTATCATCATGTATATGTTAATTATATTATAAATGAGTAAATTTATGAAGAAAATAAGAAATATTCTTACTTTATAACAATCGATGCACACGACGAAGCCACATTTTCCGCAAGCCCAATGGTAATTGAACAAGGTCGTTTCACAGACGTCGCACATCTCTCGGACACCTTGGACCACTCTCTTCCAAGCGACTGTTCCGTCTACAAGTCCCGAACTTGCTGTCAAGGTGAAGAAACAATCGATACGCAAAGCGTTAAATCATGCGAACAAAGAAAATTAACCAAAGCAAGTTCGTTTAATTACATGCTTGTAATATAAATTTCAAAATAAATATTAATATTAAACGAAATTTTAAAATACACAGAAGCAAGAGAAACGATATACGATATAGATTACATGCTATAATATTGATTTATATTTATTCTTTTCACTTTCTTCTTTTTTTGAACTTATTTTCGTTAAAATAAATTGTACATAAATTTTATAATGTATAACGCATAACTCGTTTACACATCGATATGGAAAACATGCGTGAAAATAATATAAACATAGATCTAAACAATTTTTATTTTATTACTTTAACATAATTCAATTATCTCCTTTCCAATTCCAAATAAAATTTACCTTCTGCCATGTGTTGTTGAAGAGCGTCCTTTTCTTGATGCAAAAGATCACAAAATTGATCTCCAACTTGACGAAGTAATCTGTGAGCCATTTCCAAATCTAGATCTTCTTTGTCTCCCTTCTCTTTGTCGTTCTTGTCAGGCTTTTCGTCCTTCTTGCTATCCGAACTTTCTTTTCCTGGTAACCATAACCGAAGATCTACCTATAACATGAGAACGAAATGGTTGTTCGTTTTATTGTTGTAACAAGAATTGAAAGGTAATACGAAATCTTAAAATATTTACCTCAGATGCATCTTTGTGAGGATCGCTAAATCCTGCTATCGCCAATTGTCCGTTTTTCGTGTACCGTAATCTACGGAATGCATAAAATCTGCAGAAAATATTTTGAGGAAGATTTTTGGAGCGCTGGTGCGGTGTCCATCTGCACTCACGACATTTAGCCAACTTTGGAGCTACTTCGAAACAAGCGCCGTCTTGCAGCCAACTATCACCAGTTTTTTTCAATTGCGATATCGGTGGTCTACGAAAGGGATCACCTCTACCACCACTTCCACCTGGCCCACTGTTACCACCGCTCGCACTATCGTCTCTACGTTCTTTCTTTTGACGAGGTTGCTGATCTTCTCCACCTAGTTCATTACCTTTCGTAGTCTTTGGTCTTCTACCTCGTTTCCTGGGTTCCTTATTATTTCCTATCGAACAAACAATTTGATATTTTTAAAAATCGATGTAAAAGAAATTTATTTAAAACCAATTATACGTTAGTAACATAACTCAGTGTTAAAAAGCTCGTTATATTATTGATATTTCATAGATATACATGTCAATCTTTAAATTTTCATCATCTTTCTTTTTTCGTTCTTTTTTACATTTTTAATAATTACGTGAAATTACACGAAAGGAGAAAACTTATTATTTTACATCGAAACAGGGTAAGTGTGCGAAACGGGATTTATTTAAGAGCTTAGCGAACCTAAAGAGTATCAGGAAGTTTAAAAAGTAAGTGAACATTTATAGAAACATTTTTAGATTAAACAGAAGTACATAACCTTTTAGAGAATATACTCCTGAATTTCTCGGGTTCCCACATAGCTCTATAGTAAGTGTATAATCATGGAACGCGGATCACTTACCCTGCAAGTGAATAGTTAGTTCACCTGATGGGAAGTCCATTTACAAGAAGCTACGTCAACTAACCGTTTCCCGAGGAATTGTTGGAATTGGCCGTGGTATGTCGCACCCTCGATGTAGGTTGAATGGAACCCAACTGTTCACTTGTATCACTGGCAGAACCAGCTTCGCTCTCGTTACTAGATTCACTGCCTACACCAGCTCCACCGCCTTGTTTATCTTCCTTTCGCCTCCGCTGATCTTCCGCGGTCGTTTGCTGCCTCCGTGCTGCGCCCTTCTTTCGTTTTACCTACCACAGGGCACAGATTATTAAGTAGTCAGGAAGTTCATGCTCTTGTCGAAACTACTGCCAAAAACTACAAACTAATATACACACGCGTGCGTGAACGCACACAAATCCTCGATATTTAAATATTCGTTCGCGGTATGGATTCCTAAATACAAGCAAATCAATTCTACGTCGAATATGTTACATGCAATAATTCGAACGATTTCACATTAATAAAAAGAACCAAAAAAGAAAGAAAAAATTAACGATTGCATTCTTTTTTTTTTTCATAAATCGTAAATTCATTTGTTATTCATCGAAGATTGAACAAATTTAAAAGAATCTGAACATCGTTTTTGTATATATAAAAAGTAAGGTTAGATTTTCTTATTTACGAAATGTGTATCAAAATAAACCTTAACGCTTTACCAGTTTTATCCATTGAGAATTATTCATTTCGAATAATCGATAACTGTACGTTAGACACATATATACGTATTAAAGTAGAAGCACTTGTATGAAAATAATATACGAGCGTAAGATAAGTTGCTTTCCTACTTGTGGCTTATGTTACGATAATGTTAAAATGGCGCCGAAAGAAGCGCGATATTCAAATATAGAATGTTTGAATAGTAAACTTGTATAAGTATTAAATATTATTTTTGTATAAATTTTTATTCTACTAATAATAAATAAAATTTTAATCGATTGTTCATTATTCGATTACATTATTATTTATTCATTATTTATTATTCATTATTCGTTATTCATTATTCGTTAATCGTTATTGTTTTGTTTATTTGATTTATATTTAAAGTTTACTAAGAAAACAAATGACGGTTGATGAAATTTATATAAGCTAACACGATATTTAAATTTTATTGTAACTTTTTCTGTAATTATAATATGATAAAACATAATACATTTTTATATATTAATAAAACTAAAAAATTTTTTTTTAAATTTTGTGATTTTTAGATTAGATTTAATTACAAGAAAAAGAAAAATGAAATTTTTATCACAGATCTACTTATGAATGACGAATAATTTGAAGAGCAAAAAAATCGTTAAAATCGTTAAAAATTAAAAATAAATTAAATTTAATTATGTCTAGTTTATATAAATTAAATTTACTTTATCTTGTATTTGTTATTCAAAATTTTTATCTAATAGCTTTTTTTACTGCAAATGTATTATATTATGATTACGTACATGCTTAATTATATAATATTGATAAAATACTGATAAAATTGTTACTCATAATGCAATAATAAATCTACATACAATCAAAAAAAAAAATAAATAAATAAATAAAAAAAAAAACTTTTTCATAACGGTTATCACAATTTTTCAAATACTTATGTTAATTTGATGATAAATTTTTTTAACGGAAGTTATTCAATATTTCAACGATAATAGACTATAACAGCAAAAATTTTTAAAAAACTTCAAAAAAATTTACATTTAATAAAAATGGAAGTTATATTGATTTTCTTAAGAGACTATATATATATACTTTTAACTCGATAGTATTATAGTAGCTGATGAAGAATTCAATGATTTATTATATAATGATTTTCATTTTATAAATCTATAATAATTAATAATAAAAAACAAATTTTCTTATTCATATGTAAATGAAATATAAATACAATTCGTTATGAATAAGTTATCTATTTAAATGTACACAAATTTATTCTAAATTCTATTAATCTTATTTATGATATATACTATAACAGTGTAACAATAATATTGATAATATTATAATAAATTTGAAATTTTTTGCAATTTATTATTGCTGCCAAACTACTGAGTAATTTTTATTCAAAATATTTTTTTATCAAAATAACGCAAACATTTGAAAAATCATGATGATCGTAAACACAATAAAATGTAATTATATTCAGAACACAATCTATTTAGAGAACATGCAAGAGTAATAAAGACGAGAACGATAAGACATATTTTTCAAACGATGGGAACATTCGCAACTAGGAAAAATAAATACGATAGATACGATCCATATAGATACCTTGGGTGGCTTCCTTTTGGGCGGCGACTTCCGTTCCGGGTCGCTGCTAGAAGAATCTTCTTGTAACGTTTTCGTGTCTGTCGCATGCCCGTTCAACGATTCTTTGTTCGCCGATTTACGGCTGCTTTTCGCGGTAACTTTGCTCTTATTGATGCTGTTCACCGCCATGCTACCGATATTGTGAATGGAATTGACGGCGCTGGGCAAACAGGTGGTGGTCGTATTGCCGGAAACGTTCGAGGTGTCGCGTTCTTTGTTGTTCAACGACTGCGACGGTGCTTGGGAGATATTCATAGGTAAAGTGACGCAAGATCCGCTACCTACAACTCCAGTCGTGTCTTCCGTCCCATCCTCGCCCGAATGCCTTTGCAGCCAGGCCTTCTTTAATTTGTGAACCGGATAACTGGTGCTGCTCGGTGGTCTGGGAGCAGGACTGTTCGATTTCTCGCTGTCGACCGTGCTAGGGTTAGCTTTGGCTGGAGTGCCGGGAGCGCTGGGCGCCGGACTTGGCGCCGTAGAGGGCGCTGGACTGGGTATAGGTGCCGGGCTAGGAGCTGCGCTAACGGTTGGATTCAAAGAGCTAACGCTTCCCGTACTAGCTGGTCTCACGGATCCGTCTCCGCTCGCTGTTCGAGGCGTCGGACTGACTGCGGTCACGGTGCGTTCCTGCGTCGTTTGCGTATTGGACTGGGCCAACAGAGCCACCGTGGTATTAACCACGGTCGTGATCGAAGTGGCGGCCGAGGCGATCAACGGGCTCGGCTCACTCGCTCTCGAGAGTACAGGTGGGCCGACGCATTGAAGCGATAACGGCTGCGGTTCCTCTGTCCTGCGTTTCTTGCAAACCTCCAGAGAAACCGGTTGGCCAGAATTCTCGGTCAACGAGGGAGTTGGTGCTTTTCTCTTCGGTGATCCGGATCTCTCGATACCAAGATCGAGCGGTTGCGTTTGGAAGGACGCGTTTAATTGTGGCTGCGCGTGCTGCACNTGCGGTGGATGCCCGTGAGGGCTGGGTAACTGCGTCGTGGTCGTGGACCCGCTACTGCTTCTGTGATGACTTTGAGGTATGCTCTTAGCGGTCTGTAGACCGTCCAAATGGTGTAGATGGTGGGGACTCTGCGTTGGACTCCTGTACTCGTACGGTTTGTGTTGAGGTGGAACGGATTGCACGTTCATATACGGCATAATCTTCGGACTTGACGAGTGTTGCTGAGACGCCGCCACCTTCGGTAGCTCCCGGCCTTCGTTCTTCACTATCACCGAACTCTTGTGATCCGGTAACAACGACGGAGGATTTTGCAGAACCTCCCGCCCGTGATGATCCCTCTCGAGGCCCCCGGCTAGACCACTCTTGCTCGGTAACGACTTGTGCGGCTGCCCTACGTCGCTCTTCACTTTGATGTCGTGCATATACGATGACTGTGGCTGATACGTCGAATAACTGAACAGGCCAACGTTAGGCTCCACCTTCGGCAGAGAGCTGTGCGATGGCCCGACCACAGGCGGTGGTTTCTCGTGAAGACTACTGACGGGAAGCGACGACTTCGAGGTTCTCGAGTGCGCTGGCGGTGGTGGGTAATCGACTTTGCCAGGCACGCTCGAGGGTCGAGACACCTGCGCGAAATAAGATAAAAAAAAAAAAAACGGTCGTCGTTAACATCGAATTATACATCTCAACAAAAAGAAAAAGTGCTAAAACCGAAGAAGAGAGAGGAAAAGATAAAGAAAGGAAACATTTTATCCGCTCTAGTTTTCTCTGCGATTTTACCTGTTGAGTCGGAGGTGCGGTGGCTGCGTAATAGGCGGCTCTTTGTTGAGCAGCTACGTGATCTCTGGCCTCGGCCTGTCTG